TTCATAAATATTTTTCAAAAGTTTGTCAAGATATCTAAACCTAGACAAATTATGCGAAACTTTCACATTTGTGGGATTCTGCTTTTTTAAAACTTGGCTATTGCTGTGTGGAGTCTTATAAAAATATTTGTAAAAGTCTGTGTTTTAACACAGCCCGAATTTTTTAAAGATGCAATAGGAATGCTACTAGATCTAATAGTGTCTACTTGGAAATCGGTAAATAATAATAACTTATATTTTGAAATAAATGCTTTCTATATGAAAAAAGTGGGTATGTACTCATATTTGACGTTGTTCAACGCACTTATCGATATCACCTGTCTTGCATTGGACTTTGAATTTTCTACAACATGCAGGTTTGCGTCGTCCGAATGTAGACCAACGTTCCAAACGACTCATTTTACGAACCCCCCGTTTTTCACCGGAATTCCGATCATCATTTTTAATAACCACATTTTCCCTAGTATTGAAACTTCTGAATCAAAGATGGTGGCGCTTATCACAAGTGAGTAAAGTCCATTGTCAAACACTTCATGTCGTGTAATCTACCTAACGTTCAGCCTTTCAAGTAATATATTCAACATATTTTTTTACATCTTTATCTCTTCAAGCTGAGAAGATATTCTTATGTGCCTTGAAAATGTAAATACATCAAATAAGAAAGAGACTTCAAACTTCAAATTCAAGAATTTACTGGGGATAGATCACTGGTCCAAACAAACTACTGAATTCATATCAATTCATGCAGACAAGAGTCAGTTTCTTTGTTTGAAGACTGAATTGAGTTTTTGCATTTCATAATGTAATTATGGCCATTATCTCTTCTACAGGTCCCTGGGTGTCATTGAGGAAGGGAAGCTCAAAACAAGTTCTGTCGCAAGAATCGCCCTAAAACGTTCCTGGCCCCAGGATGAAGGCGTTTGGTGGATGGTCTCTATGTTGATAGATGCCCCAACCTTTGGCACCCGCGCGGGAAAGGATGTTTCGTCCGTTTGATGTTGTGTCATTATTTTGAATTTGACTTTCTATTCATATGAATGTTATCTGCTATTTTTTTCCTTTTGACTCGTGCCAGAGTGTGAAAAAGTTGTGTAAATCAAAATTGATTCACATTGACACTTTCGCTTGTTTTATCACTTTTAAAATTGTCGATATAAGAAACCAACATTTTGAAAGCATGATACTCTTGGCTTTTACCCCATGCAACACTTGCTGACTGCAATGCCCTGTTTTTCTTCTTTTTTAAACTTTCCAAAATTGTATGAATGATATGAGTTTGGGTTTCTGTAATCTAGACCCGGAGACGCATTGTCTTCCTTTTCATTAATGTGCACTACCAATGTGTATTTCTTGTAGCTTTCCGAACACAGCAGCCATTTTACACATTTAAGGGCTGTGTTTCCTTCAAAGATTCCTAATTTCCAAAAAGTTCCAAAAAGATGGGTTGTTAACTATGAAAGCAAAACTATTCTGCAGTAAATTTATTGTAATATTTCTATCTGTCAGGTATCTTTAATTAACCAAATGCTAATTTTCTCATGGTTTTATCATTGTACTTCTCATCAGTGTCTGTGGTGTAACAGTTAAGCGCTTCGCTATCCCATGCAGAAGACAGGGGCTCTCGTGGCGTAGATGTTAAACTGTTCACTTTTCATTCAAAATTCCCTGGTTCGAATCCGGATAGCGACGGGAATTTTTCTTCTCTAAAATTGTCTCCTCTCACATCCTTTCCAGCCCTCTAACAATGTTCTGTCGACTGCTTTCGTCTACACTTTCTTCCCCCACTCCTTCACCTCCTTTCTCCTTTGCCCCCTCCTCTGGGCTCCTGACTCTTTCTACAGTCTTTCTACTGCTACCCCTTGGCTCTTGCTTACTACTGTCTTTCAGCCACACCCCTAATCTTATGTTAGGAATGATCTACACCTAACCTTCTCGGACAAGGACGATAAATCTCAGAGGTCCCAAGTGCAAAACGTTGCGCACGTTAAAAATCCCTTGGAGGTCCAAAATCGATAAGAGTAGGCTTTGGCCGCCACCCAGACGAAATCAAAATTTCCTACCAACTGAAAAAGTTTAATTTGTCCCGTGCGCTCATATGATCTTATGCAGGTTCGAGCACAGTAAGACACCAACCCCTCCCCCGAAAAAAAAAAATTAAAAAATAAATAATTGCGGAAGACCAGAAATCGATTCACGAGTGAGAGCAATTTTATCAAGTATCTCAGTCTTTCTTTAAGGACGTTGTTTCCCTTTCAGCCCAGGTTGGTCTGCCTCCTTACTTATTCAAATTGTCTTGATGAGGGCGTAAAACCCCCATATACTCTTTTTAATCTCAACTTCATAGCTTTTTTTGAGTGCTTCATTTCAGTTAATGCTTGAAGTCATGGCTACCTGTTAGTTTATGTTTTGCATTAAAGTACTGAAAGTGTTTTGTGAAAGTTTGATAAAACGGTTATATAAAACAAAAACATTCACCCTGTCTTTGCACCAAGATCTACTGACACTTGGGGGTTTTTTTTTTTTGGGGG